GCTGTCCCAATGAAATCGAACTTTGCTTGTATAATATCTGCTTTAATATTTACATTATGAATTCAGATTTATTTATATGAAACAATCTATTTGTCGACAAGTACAATAGCTGACATGGGATCAAAATGCGTATGTATAAATGGCGCTGTATCCCATGAAATCTTAAAACATTAGCTATGGAGTTTATCCGGATATCATTCATAATTGTAATTATAACTTTTGTAAATTGTTACGCAGAGCAAAATTTCAGCAATGGAAATCCAAGGGCATGTAAATTGGCAGAAGATGAAACTCTGGTTAAGTTTGAAGTTCTACCCGGATATGGCTGGGATAATCTTGTGAATGAAAATCGAGGGTTAGTTGTAAATTTCAATTATTCTCAGTGCAGAACTACAGAGGATGGGAGATATTTAATTCCTGACTGTCTCAATGTTATTCCTATTAAATCAAGTCGACTGAACATATTTTCTAGTGTGTACAATTATTGGTCGGACTATAAGTCTGATACGTCGGCATCGATTAATAAAGGCGGATCTTTCAAAGGATTTGGCTTCAAGATTGCTGCAAGTATGTCATCTGAATTTCAAAACGTGAAGTCTAAATAATTACAATATAATGCTACAACAACAAAAGTACAAGCCAAATTTCATCTTTATACCGCAAAAATACATCCTGATTCCGAGCTTGATCAAGTGTTTCGAAATCGAATTTTACGAATAGCTGATCATATTCAACATAAACGAAAAATGTCGGCCAGATATGAAAGTGAACTTCTCATACAAGACTTCGGTACACATGTACTTACAAGTGTTGAGGCAGGAGCTTCCATCGTCAAAGAAGACCTACATTAATTCGTCTTTTTCAAGCAGTGATACTTCTTCGAGACTGCAACTTTCGCTTGCGGCAAGTTTTTCACATTCTGGCTTCTTTCATTCTGAGAGTGAATCAGCTTCCGGAACATATTCAGTATCGAATGATATAATCCAAAAATACAAAAACTGCACAACTGATTCTGAAGTCCGTACGCATGGAGGTCCAGCAATAAATCCAGAAAATTTTACTCTTGACGAATGGACTTCTCAAATTGGAGACAATTTGGTTATCATTGATAGAGACGGGTTTTCTTTGGAAGATGTAATATCTCCTCAAACTTTTCCCGAGCTTTCAGAATGCCTTGTCCAAGAAACGGCACAAACAGTGCACCATGCAATCAACAGTTATCTTCTACACAACACATATCAAGGTTGCACTAATCCTGATTCTCCAAATTTCAGCAAAATTTCAAACGCAGACGATGGTTCGTGCCGCTTACCATTTTCAAATTTATCTTTTGGAGGTGTCTATCAAAAGTGTCAAACAATGGATGTTTCTGATGACCAATCTTATTGTGACGATCTAATTACAAAAAATCCTCATACAGGGGATTTTAGCTGTCCTGTTGGCTTCGATCCAGTTCTCTTACAATCGGACCGGGTTACATTTTCAAAGACGGAACACGAATGTCACAGAAGATGGATATTTTTCAAGCATTGTACTACAAAACAGATTACAGGACCAACAATAGAATATACAGCGTACTGGTGCAGCTCAAATTATGAAACCCAGGAGTCAAGGGACAATGGTTTTCTTTTTGGTGGACTTTACACAAATGGAATGAACAACTTTGTTACGGATTCCCAATCATGCCCTCCGTTTTTTGTTGCAATGAAGATTACATCGAGTGTTTTTATATGCATCAGTGACAAGTTTGAACTTGCTGTAAAAAACTCAATCCCATTTGCTGGTTTCTACAGCTGTAAAAGTGGTAATCCTTTGGTAAAAGACACTGCTGATGCAAAATCGTGTCCAAAAGGATACAGCAGCCATTTGGCATATATTGATGACTCCTGCGATATCATGTATTGCATACGCAGTGCACAGCTGCAGGTACCAGAGTTAAAGTTTCCAAGTCTAAAAATTCCTCCTTTTATTAAGATTCCACGTGAAGAGTTCGTGGAAACTTCGTATATGATTACCGATGATTCAAAAGTATGGACGAAACTATTTGCTCCTGAGGAATATGATATGCAACCAGCAGATAAGAAATGGACAACTATGGCATCGTCTAAGATTGTGGAGGACAAACTGAGATCATCTTTTAAATTAAATTACGAAGATAGTATAGAATCCAACAATGATAAAGTAAATACTGGGATATCAAAAGGTGCTGTTGCAGGGGTATCTGTAGTTACTACCACTTTATTTTGTGTTATTGTCGGCTTTGCTATATCATACTTGCGCACTCGAAAAATGAAGAACAATGGATATACCAGCATACAATCTTAATAAACAGCAAATCACAGAAATTTACTTTTAATTTTCATCAAATAAAAAATAAAAATACAAACTTTGAAGGTGTTGCTATTATTTATCAATGAATGACTGATTTGTTATTACAGGATGCTGTATTCGAATTATAATAATTTTTATCATTCGATTAATAATAACTTTTATTCTATTTAAATTGATATAAAAAGTTCAACAATAGGTAGAGCTTTTGTATATGCATCCTACTAGTATAACTTTATTTGGCATTTTTTTTTAAATGTTGACATACATGTTCCTTGAAATTCGGAATTTGATATATTTATTAATTTTAATGAATTTTTAATTCTTAATTCTGATCAATACTCATCTTTAATTTTAGACAAAATATGATATACATTCTGATAAGAGTCAATGAATGTATTTGTGCATGTAAGATGTATAAAGTAAAATAAAAAAGGAAATGAAATGAAGTCATGAAATTTCTCTGCAGTGTAATCATTATTCGTATGGATTTTATTTTGAAAAAATTGTGCAAGCTTTTAATCACTGCATGATAACCTAAAAGCAAATCCGTTGTCAAAATTTTCCTCTCTTTCTCTTCATTGCTTTAATTCCTCGCGTCACATTGCAATAAGTTGTAGACCGCATACCTGTTTAGCTGGAATTGTGAAAGAATATTGTTTCTTTGAGGACCAATGTTCGTGCATTTCTTGCGTCAATCTTTTCCAAATAACATCCCCAGGAACAATTATTTTCTTGAGATTTTTACTCATCGAATCTTAAGAATTTAATATGTGTATCAAACGAAATAACGTCCCCTGAATCACACAAATTTTGTGTACCCACAAACATTGATACTCTAGGACAAAAAAAATGATTCCACAAAAGTAATGATAGAGTATATTCAATGTAATTGGTAGGGAGTTTATTTCACGAGGAGGAGAAGTATTTTTTTTATATTTCACGAGTGCACAGCATTTGTTCAATAATCGCATTATCCGTGAATGAAATGAATTATAATTCAACAATTTAAATTTGAGTACTCTGGTCATTATGAACGTTTGATATGATTTTCCTTTAGCATGTGTCTTTTGGTAACATTGTTTTATTGGCTGTAACCTTATAGCTGAAACATGTGGAGAAAACAAACAGTATTCAAAATCAAAAGTCCATAAAACAGTACAAAATAGGAGCAGAGCAAATATGGCCCTCCAAAACATCAGAGGTGAAATCAGGTGCTATGGGGGGTGGGGGGGGGGGGGTTGAGCATCCCCTGTCGACCAGTCATACCCGCTGTGTGCTCCTAGTCATGATTGGGAAATAACAAAAAAATCCGTCGTGAATTCTTTGTATAAATGATAGACCAACAATAACTATGAAAAACGTTTACTTATGGCTTCGCGGTAGTTAAGCATTGTATTATCATTTTTTGAAAGATGCAGTCTCATAACTGCAATAGTGTGTGCAAACAAATTGAGTAACGCGCGTTAGCGCGTTATGAAAATTTGTTTGCACACACCATTGCAATTATGAGAGTGCACCTTTCAAAAAATGATAATTCAATGCTTATCTTTACATTTTTAGTCCCTGAAATTTCCGCAATTTTGATTTTTTATTTAAAATTCCACCCTTATCCTTCATGTAAGTTGCAATTGATAGAACAGCTTTTGGAACAGCTTAATCCAAACTTCCCACCAGATTTCATTTACTCACAAACCAATATCCGCAAACGAAAATAGTGCACAATTAAACAAATAGCAATAATCACAGTTTTCTTTCTTTTCAATCTAAAATGATAAACTATATTTTTGCCACAAAGAAATACAAATGAATAGTATAAAAGACACAAATTTTCCCCTTTATTTAAACTGTAATGGCGCAGTCCCTGTATTCATGCGCCAAACAGACTTCGGTGATTTGGTCCTGTGTGTTATGTGTATTTATCACTTTTAATTTTATAATGTTTTTTATTAAGGTCTAACAAAGTAAATGTAAATATTGAAAATATTGTTATCATGAGTTTCAACGGACCTGACAATAAGAATGTATAACGTTTACCAACCAAAGCGTAAAAAGTATAGAAAAAAACAATAAAATGGCTCGGAGTACATTAAGCAAAACAGGGACCAGGTTAGAAAATCAATAAATAATTTTGTAACGTGAACCAGGTATTGTGACGTCTACTACTCTCGGGAGTTTACGTTAAATTACCGATAACTGTCGCACTATAATTATAATAATATTGAGGTATAATATTTTTTTATTTAACATGAATATCGTCTACACAAGATTCATGTTTGTTAAGGATGATTTTGACAAAGAAAAAAATTAATCACTTCAAAACAATTTCTAAATGAAACATGATAAACAGAAATGCAGAGTCATTCTTCTTCACCATTAAATCATACAGCTGTTCTTGTTTAATTCCATTGATATCGAGAGCTTTTCTAGAGGTGGTTTGATCAACCGGATATCCTGTTCCACTGAATCCGGTTCCGGCTTGTAAATACATGCATTTGTATTATTCTAACCATCATATGTGTGCTTCGTTAATTTGGCATAGTGTATGCGATTTACAATTAGTATTAAAACAAACCTTGAAAATAAAATTGAAACTGAAATAAAATCAATCGAAATCAATTTGCTTTGATAGCGAAACATAACAAACAGATATGTACAGTTATATCTCTTTAACAGTTTAATTTAATTATTGTTCATTTTTAATTTCCTGGGTAGGGAGGGGCTTTTTCTGAGGTAGTCTGATCAACCGGATATCCGGTCCCAGTGTATCCGGTCCCAGCATTATATGCATTGTTTTGACCAGTTCCGTTGCTAGGATACGGTGTTGTTCCATATCCAGTCTGAGGTGGATAGGAATTCATTATGTTTCCATTGGCTGGAGCTCCATATCCAGTGTATGGTGGAGGGGCTTGATAATTTGGATTGGTGTAGCCTAAAATATAAATGATTCCAAATAACTGACAATCTCCTTGATACATTTTTAAGGTATGTGTGAAATAAATGACCAATGCAAAACAAAAAAGTAAAATAGTAAGTGTTAGGATTCCTAAAAGAGCAATTACATATACTGTTATCAAAAATGATGATTCATCATTGTTTTTTGCTATTATTTTATTTTACATATAAATAATTTTCACCTGCAGCTGTTGCTGTCACGACCTGCTGATGACCACCAGTTCCAATAACAACCCCTCGTGGATGATATCGTCGCCGGCGACACACAATGATAATCACAGTGATGACAACGATAGCGAAAACAATGCTCCCGACTACCGAGCCAACCACGATACCAACTGTGGAATAAAAGAAAACCGAAATACAAAAAAATATCCGTACATATTTAAAACCTATATAACAGTTACAGAATATAAAATGTAAAGATGTAATTCAAAACAAAATATTGAATTATAAATGTTATGACAAATGTATATTAAAGAGAAATGTCAGAGTCACTTTTTATTTCCTGCCACTTTACAGTGCATTCTAGTAGGTGCTTACACGAAAAGATCTCTCACTGCTTAATGGCCTTGAATGCAAAGTATAGGTATAGATTAGGCTGTTTGATATGTAGCTTTATTTCGTATGTACATGTAGCTTCAGAACAGTAGCTCTCCGAAAAAATATATTGGCAGAGCGGAGAGCTACAGTTGACCGTTGGCTCTTCAAAAATCTGTAGCTTACACGAAGAATAATACTTCGGTTTTTAAATATAAATCATATTTGCAGTCAAGGTAGAGAGTAACAATTTTTTTTATCTTATGTTTTCTGGAGATGGCTACAGTTTCACAGCATCTCCGTAATGGTGCAAAAATATTTTTTTTATACGGGCGACTGCAGGCAGAATAAATTGGTTTTACATTTAACTTACTTCTAATAAGACGAGATTTTTATTCACTGTTGACAACATAGCTCTTTTAACGCGAAAACCATACAAAAAAATCTGAGTGTTTACCTGTCGTTTCTACTCAGCAGCCATGACAGTTCACGCGTGACGGACTGAGACTTGGGCTTGAAATTTAGAATTACTCAATAAAGCAGGTGTTGGTGTTTATAAATAACTGTGATTAATAGTATCAGTAAACATTAATAAACCATTCCATGTGTTATTTTTACGTAAACAGCGATATTTAGGCTTAAAATAAGGTAATATTCCAAAGAAATCCTCTCCTTATAGATCCTTAATTTTATTGGCTGTCCCAAAATAAAATCTGCCAAGGTCAGTGAACATGGCGGATAATTTTAAGTTGTGATGTTGATACACACGAAAAATAAGCGAAATATGGATTGTTCTGTATATTTTTGGATCGATTTATGTCTTAGATAACTACATTTTGGAAGTCCGAGTAAGACATGTTAATTGAATAGCCGTTTACTGACAATTTGAGCCGATATCCGCGCGGGAGTAAATCGCTCCCGCATTGCACTTCACGGAGATCCTAAGGAGTTGTAGCCCTTTCCCCACCCCCGCCCCAAAAAAATAGGGAGAGGGCTACATTATTGCAGCTAAAATTGTTTAAATTTACACGGTAAATTAATTAGGATTACCAAAGTGTAAATGAACAAAGAGAGCATTACTCATAAAAAATTGTACTTTTTATTTATGTTATTTATTTACAATATCATTTTTAAAATTCATAAACGAAAACCCAATGAAAGTTGCAAAACGTTTGTATATCCTTGCCTGATTTTCTTGACGGATATTGTTGCAAAACATAAATAAAATGTGTATAATTTCAATAATGATATGTTTTGAGGAAAACTGCAAGAATCTCTCTCTCTCTCTCTCTCTCTCTCTCTCTCTCTCTCTCTCTCTTATTACCTTCATATGGATTCTTTGTTGTTACTTTTAGCGTAAAGTATCCAGAATAAATGCCACTACTTTTTGATGGTGCTGTTAGTTTGACCTTGACATCACCATATGTATCACCACAGAACTTTTCAGGTTCGGAATCAAAGCAGCTGTACGTCTAAGATTAAAATTAATGGTCTAGTACGTTCATGTTTTTTTGACAGATGCTGAAGATTATTGTCTTTTTTTATCCAAATGGAACCAATATACCAGAGTACTGTTTAACCATAAATTGGTTGCAATGTTGTATTTAACCTTTAAATCTTTATATACATGGTGTTTTTCATAAACATTGGGTGAAATAAAGCATTGGGTTTGCTTCAAATTGAAATGCACCCTGTTCGTGTGAAAAGAAGATAGTAATATTATCTTTAAATTTGCAAATGATATTAAGTTAATGATATTTACTTAATTTAAACTGTAATATAAATTGAAACCAAACCAAAACAACTTTAAAATTTATATTTTTGGTCAATTTCGCTAAAGTATTAAAAAAATGGCATTTTTTAAAACAATATAATGGATCTTTCAAGACAAACCGTTGTAGACTTTTTTTCAGAAAAATAGCAAGGTACGATTGTTTGAACAATGACATACCATTTTTATTTTTAAAATGGACACTTACTTCGTCAAGCTCCGTCCCTATAAGCCCTCCGTAATATTGAAGCTTAACGGAACAACTATTGATATAAAAGCTTTGGGCCTCAACACACACTTTGTTATCGGTATTGAATGGACTGAACGTGTATGAACAGTATGACGATAAACTCTCCCCGCTCCAAGTGATGTAATAAGTGTCGTCATCAAAAATAGTTTTTGTGTCGTATCCAGAACACGTGCTGTCAAAGTACACTGCAAAAGACAAAAGATCCAAGAATGATGACAACATAAAGTTAAACTTGTTAAATATGTAGTATAAAAATATCTCAAATAAATTAACTTATGCCTTATTTTAAAAAAAAATCTTACAGTTTGAACTGTATCCACTGACGATAGATATCGTAGCAAAAACCAAAATGACCTCGGAACGGAAATTCATCTGAAAATAATGTATGGCATATATATACGTTTATTTTATAAGCATCATGCTGATAAATAAATGAAATTCCTTTAACAATAGACATTTCTAACTAAAGCAAACAAAGTTTTATTTCTAATTGACAGCTGGAAGAAAGCCTTTGCCTGTAAAAATGTCTAATAGTATTCTATCCGTGTATGATAGAAGATTTTGCTTCACAATAATCGTATATGTAAAACCTTCTGAAACCTACCTCTTAGAATTTTTTGTTTTGACAATCAAAATAAGGTTTTCGTGAAACGTAATTCGAGGGTTGTCAGTAGACATGAGATGTTGCATTATCAAATTTTTAAACAAAAAATATTTAGGAAATGCTAATATCTTAACTAACGGAATTCTGTTGAAGTTTACTCAAGCTAACGGGACATATGATATAATGATATAAAAAGAATACTTTCACACGTTGGTAGAAAAGATTAAATGTATCATATATACTCGTATGTTCAAATCTTGAATTAAACAAATAAGGGGCGATATAAAAATCATTATCCTTCTGTGTTTAGTGACATACAGAGGCTTGTTCTCTTATCAGAACAGAGATTTTGAAGCTGGAAGCACAAGCACAAGGTGAAAAAATAAGAATTATAAAAATTCGTAACACCAACATGACCAATGAATGATAAATAAAAGATAGATTTATCGAGATATATATACAAAAACATGATATATACATGTACACATAAAATAAAGGATAGATTACAAGATCAGTGAGTACTGGTTAATGCTGGCAAAGCATATAACAACATAAGATCGTTGTTTGTAAGGCCAAATAGATGTGTTTAAACTGTAATTTAGAGGAACTCTACAAGTGGTCATCCAACTTATACCCATTTTTTCCTTTCAAAGGAGGAAAATATTCATAATTGTTTGTCATTTAGAATATTTTGGTCATTTCAAACAACATTACTGAATTTGAACTACATGCATCATATCTATATTGGACTCCGAAACTTAATAAAAAGCCTTACAAAGATACATAGCGGGTTCCAGTAAATATTCTACCAATGCTCCTTTTAACATTCCTTTCTAAAATATTAACAGTAGTGAAGGAGAAATTTCAGAAGTGCTTTTGCAACAATATCTTTCAGAGATGGTGTCAATCAGATGTTGATACATGTCCTTAAAATTCCAAGGAAATATTGGACATTTGAAAAATAGTGAAATTTACCAAAATCGATAGCAAACATTTTAACTTTAAATACGACCATTCTCTAAAATCAATTTTAAGTCCAGAGTTTTGACACCCGCAATTGGCAGCTGCCTTTTCAATTAAAAAAGGGAACTGGTTATTTACTTACCTTGTCATTCGTCATTTGCAAACATATTTTGATAAAAAAAAATCTGATTGTACACGCAGTACTCTGGAGTTGATAATAAAAAAGATGCTTTAGTCTCTAGTAGAATGTATAATGTTTGGGGATAAGTCAGTCAGCAAGTTGTGGAAGTAATAAGTCAATATACTAGGAATACACAATTTAAGGAACATTTTGAGATGACAGCAGTTATAAACGTAGAAATAAATCAGCAGCAAAAATAAAGATAGAAATAAATCGTGAAAACTAATTTTTTTGCACAAAATAAAAATATATTTTGGATATGTGACACGGTATCTCTATGGACTTTTTTCAGACAAGCAAGCTACAGATCTCTAGCTATCTCAGAAAATGCAATATCAGATTTGTTTAAATCTAGACCGTTTGGGATAAAATGGGGTCAAAATTTGGATAAAGGTTTAATGTAACTAAAGATCATTATAAAGAAAAAAAATCTTAAAATTGTGTTTTTAAAAACAAAACGGAGCCATGATTAGTCGAATTGAATTGAAATTCCTTAAGTCTTTGTTCAAGTCAATCTCTAGTACAATGGGATAACAGTTTTTCGTGTGATGAAAAAAAATCTTTCAATAACTTCCTTCTTAAGAACAACGGAGCATTGATTAGTCAAATTGTCATGGAAGTCTCTCCTTGTTCTATGAGTTAAGTTTGTTGAACTAAGGCTAGGATGGCTGTCATCATTAAAATTTTGTTTTCAAGAATAACACCGCCATAAAGAGTGATATGATTATAAAAGCATCCTCAGAAAGCATAGAATCAATTCTGTTAAAATTTAACCCATGGGGATAGGGTATGGCTAGAAAAGTGAAAAAATAGAAAATGAAATGCAGATTACGTTTACATTATTTATACTTTTCTATGCTGACGACACAGTTTTACTATCTGATAACCCAGATGATTTACAAAGAGCGTTGAATATTTTTTCTGATTATTGTGACCACTGGAAACTTCAAGTAAACAGACAAGACTAAGATTGTAATTTTTTCTAGGGGAAGGATCCCCCCAAAAATATTTTTGTACAGAGAAGCACCAATTGAAATTGTGAACGAATTTAAATACTAAGGTGTTATCATGTCCCGTAGTGGTTTTTTTCAAAAGTGCCAAAACACACCTAACTAAACAAGCTTCAAAAGCAATGTATGGAGTTCTCAGAAAGATAAGGTATTTTAACTTGCCAGTAGATTGTCAAATAGATCTTTTTGACAAAGTTATAAGCCCGATTTTGTTGTACGGGTGTGAAGTTTGGGGCTACGAAAACATAGATATTTTTGAAATTTGTTTTGCATGTTAAGTCCAGTACCCCAAATTGTATGGTGTATAGGGAAACTGGGCGATATCCTTTAATAATACGTATAAAGGTACGAATGATTACTTACTGGGCTAAACTTTTGATGTCACATGAGAGTAAGCTGACATACAAAATGTATTGCTTTCTTTATAAACAATTTTCTGAAGGATCATTTATGCACCCATGGTTGAAATGTATAAGGGATATCTTGAATTCTTGTGGTCTGTCTTATGTGTGGATGAATCAAAATTTCATTTGTATTACATGGTTAAAATCCATTGTGAAAGAAACATTGTAAAATCAATTTTTACAAGACTGGCATATGAACATAGAAAATTCATCTAAATGTTTAAATTACAGGATTTTCAAAAACAATTTTGGACGAGAAATGTACTTAAGTAAACTCCCAAAAGACTTAAGAATTGTATTAACCAAATTTAGAACTTGTAACCACAAACTTCCAGTCGAATCTGGTATATGGACTAATACTGAGAGATCTTTAAGATTATGTAATTTATGTAACAAAAATATTTTGGGGGATGATATGTTCATATTTTTCGTCTTTACGGGTAAAACGTATTGATAAGAAGTATTGGTCTCATGTAAATACTTATAAATTTGAGAAAATTATGTCCATCACAAATGTTGACTCACTGTTAAAACTGTCTTTGTTTACTAAAAAGATATTGGCCTGCCTTCAGTAGCTATTTTCTTATTTGACACTACTCTTCCTTATTTGACTTTGTATTTTGTATATATGTAAATATGTTCCTGTACTTCATATACCATTGTATGGTCTGAGTGTAAATAAACAAACAAACAGGTTATGTTATTCTTCCTGTTGCTATTTTATTCTCTGTGAATCTTAATTGTTTGTTCCTCATATGGGCCATTTATTTACATTATTGATTTCAGAAATTGTGTCAACGGCAAATAACAATTGCTTCACTAAATTACTAGACACTCTGCTAATTCAAAAATATGCACCTTTAGCTGTTGTTTTTGGAGTATGACTCTTGTCACTATGATGTGAAAACTCTGTGTAAATAGTTAAAATGTGTGAAAACATCCAAAAAAGTGATTTTAATGACATGATTGGTTTTTAAGTTACCTGATGAAAATCAGGTAAGAACTCATTGAAATTGCATAGACATTAATTTTTTTAACTTAACCCCCTTCCCCGTAGTCACGCATTTTAACGCATATACCATTTCCTATTTCTAACGCAAAATTACATATATCGTTTCCTCGCAATCACGCATTTTCAAGCACTTTGAAAAGTTCATTTAATCTACAATTTATTGCCAAATTCTTTCTATTTTATACTTACTGAAATATCATAAAATAAGGGAAGTTATTTTATTATTGAAATATCACGCCATGATAATACTTACGCTGAACTTCAGAGAAACTTGTACCACACTATGAAGTGTTTCCGGGGAAAAGGTAAACAAATATTTCAATGACGTGAACATTAAGTGTATGTTGCGTAACAATTACGTAAGTTGTAAAGAGTCGCAAAAGGTGCGAACCCTCACTGCTCAATGGCCCTTAATGCAGAGTATAGGATAAAATTGAAGCTCTCCACCGGCAAGTGGTGGCATCTTCATATGAGTGAAACATTTTCGAGAGGGACGTTATACACTAATGAATCAATCAAGCAGTATATTTTTGAGCACAAATCAATTTAAAAATTCTTACAATGTGTCTGCAGTGATAAAATTTGGCTATTTGATTTCCGGGTTTATGTGGTTTTGTTCTGTAGCTTATTGTTTTAATAGTCGCCTAAAAGGCGCAGTTCTTAGAGCAGCAGCTCTAGAATCGCGAAAGAAGGAGTCAATATTTGCCTTGCAGGTTCGAATCCTACCGTGAGACGTAGAGACTGGTCCTTCTGATGTGACCGTATAAACCGAGTTCATGTGATGCAGTAGGTGCTGGTGCGAAAAAGAACCCTCACTGCTCAATAACCCAAAATGCAGAGTATATTATTAGGACAAAATTTGAAGCTCTCCACCGGCAAGCGGTGGCCTCTCTATATGAGTGAAACATTTTCGAGAGGGACGTTATACAACCAATGAATCAATCAATCATTATATTAAAATAATTCAGAAAGACACACACGTCTTGTATATATTTTTAGATAATATTATTTTAGTCTTTGATATTCAATAAAAATACACATTTAATTAACAGATTTGAAATGCAATTACTTACAGTGTACCTTTATCGATATCTATCCACTTCATGTAAATGACCAATTATGAAAAAAAGTTCTTGTGAAATGCCCTATATTACTTATGCAATGTACATCCCGAGATGGTTAACACTCAGTACTTAAAGACAAACATGATAACAAACGATAATGCCCACGTGATCTACAACTCGTGAGAAATTGTAATGAGTGTGAATACTTTAGATATTTACTTTTATATATAAATATTTTACAGGTCGGCGAGTTTAAATATTGTAAAATATAACATGTATTAAGAATTCTCAACAAAAACTTAAGAAGAAAATATATATTGCTCTAAAATAATTCTGTGTCATAAAAGTTGTTTTATTATATATGAAAGTCGATTGAACATTGCAACAGATTGTATTTTAATATAATGAAGAAAAAAAGTCTTATATGATTAACATTTTACTTTAAGTTAATTTTCTAAAATATAAATATAATTGTGCAAAACAAAGTTTTTATTGCCAAATGAAATGAGTTGAAAACCTGGTGATTTGACATTTACAATGCACGGCCTGAAACAAGAGCTTACCTGGGAGGCTAAGATAAACAGAGCAAATGATAAAGAATGAACATTTCCCTCTAGCGCAATGTTAGCCTACGAACGTTTTAAAGATAGTGAGGATGTGATTATACTATTTTTATCATTATCATTTGCATATTTATGAAACGGTTATATTGACTGCTGCTCAAAAGAAATATTTGTATGAATTATAATGTAATATATATCCCTCTATTTTACAATGTTTCCTCCTCATTGTTATAAAAGGAACATATAAACTTATCCCTTGAAAATATATAATGAAAGGAAAACAAATTGTCTTATTACCAAATGAAATGAAGAGAAAACCGAGTGATTTGTGATAAAAATGTACTCGATCTAGTCCCCCGCCGTAAATAGCATCCTTATGTTTATGATGCTTAAGATTTTAATACACAGATCAAAAAATCAAAAATCAAATTAAAGGTGAAAGAATCATTACACTACTAGTGTAGTATTCTTTTCATTAACATAAAGAGTAAAGAATTTTTTGGGCAAAACTTAGAGCTAATATAAAAAATAAATTGCTTACCTTCAATTATGATTCATATAACTACGGAGATTTTATATTGTTGTCTATCTTGTTATTACCTTATACAATCACTTATTGAGATAGTATATTATCTCTAAGTAAACATAATATCACAAGGTTAATTTGTACAGTAAATATAGCGATGGAACACAAATGAAAATAAAATTAAAATTTTATAAGTTGACACAAAGATGATAAAAAGTTCTCTATATTCTAATGATCTGCAAAGTCGTGTGGGGATGATACTTTCCGTATTACGTAATATTAGTTGAGTGTTTTACAATAGAAGATATAAGCCATATAGCATGACTAATGTGATGACTTTATATTTTTCAGTTTTCTTACTTTTGTAGTCAAATTCCGCCATTATCCACATCTTACTTTTAGTGGGCGATTAGTTTTAAAAATAAGGCAAGCCACTGGAAGATAAAATTATGTTATAGGAATTTCTTGAAACAAATCCTCTTAAAGTCAACTTCAATGTTTTGTGTGCATTTTAATGTAATCATAGTGACCTTGTTAAAAATGTTATACACGAGTCATATATCGTATTTTGCTGATGTACTTAAGAAATGAATTTAATTTTTGAAGATTCATGAGGTTATGAACTACGACGCTTCACGCCGGCATATTTCATGAAGCGCGTTAGCGCTTCATGATAAATATGCCGGAGTGAAGCGTTGTAGTTCATATACCTCATGAATCTTCAAAAAATTAAATTTATTTCTTATATTTACATTATTTTTCTGATGACTTGCCGTAAATTTACGCCGTTCAATTGTCATTTTTAAAACAAAACAGTGTGCACTATATCTTTTGCCTTTTTGACATCAAGAGCGGTATTATGACGTAACAATGGAGATATTCATGCTTATTCATGATACATACCTAATGTAGTTCATGAGAAAATATACTGCATTTTATTTTGTAAAGAATCATAGGGGAAATTTATTGGAAATGTAAATATTTGATAATAATTGTTAAACCTTTGTTAATAAACTATAAATTTCCGGGGATCCGTCTTTTAAGCCTTGTTTGTAGAATTGTATTATTTGAGATCGACTACTGTTTTTTGTCCAATTTTTTAACTTAACTAACATATAAATTACGCGTATCAAAATAATATGTAAATAAAATCAACATTAACTAAAATACTGTTATAGAAACTACAAAATATATATCAATGAGCACTACATCCTAGATCTGACAGAAATGTTGCAATATTTATCATATTCCTAGCATATTTACTGTGGTTGTGATCGGTCGCGAGGAACTCCATGGCACCTGAACCCACCTATTTTTTAATTGCTCCGTGATTGTTCTGCTCCCGATATCTATTGCTTTGACTTTTGAGCTTGATAACCGTTTATTATCTCCTATTTAATTTAAGGTCACTTGACTATAATTAAACATTGAATAGGATACATAGAAATATTAAAGTGTAAACAAAACCTTTCCTTGAAGATAAATTGCCAGAAAGCAACAGAAGTATTATGATGAGGGTCCAACGAAATAACAAGAGAAAAGAACAAAAATCAAAAAAAATATTTTCCTGTATGTTGCATAGAACCCCGCCCCATCTGTATAGCATCTGAATCCAGGGCTGATAAATTTAAAACTAATGAAGAGACTGCTTATTCATTATAAAAAGGGATTATAAAGATGGAAACCGTCAGTTAGCATTCGACTTAATGATATATTGTATATGCTGATAGGGTAATTGTATCTACCAAAGAGCTTACGAAATATTTACTTAAGAGAAGATCGTTGATTTTCTTCTTTAATTAAGCTATTTTTTAATACATTGTTTCCTACGTATTTATTGCATGCTCTTGCTTATCAAGTCAGCTAAGAGACGTAAAATTTATATGCAGGTGCTATAGCTACATTGCTAACTCGGTAATTATAAGGAAAGTAGATGATAGAAAAATTAAGTCACGTCTTTTTCTATTAAAATATATAAATTTGAAACAGGTGTGTCGCACTATATATACATGAAGGATATGGAAATAATTACGAACAGTATTAGATCTCAAAGTCCATAAACAATACAAAATAGGAGCAGAGCAAACACGGACCTCCAAAACATCAGAGGTGGGATCAGGTGCCATGGAGGAGTGAGCATCCCTTGCCGACCGGTCACACTCGCCGTGTGCTCCTTGTCATGATCAGGAAAAAACGGAAAAATCCGTTGTCAATTCAGTGTATAAATAATGGGCTAACAATTAGTATGAAAAACGTCAGTCAGCATTTGACTCAATGATAAATTGTATTTGCTGACAATGTCATTGTATCCACCATAGAACTTACAAATGATGACTTTAAACGAGACTGCTGATTTTCTTGTTTTATCAACTTGCTTGTCATTAAATTACCTAGTTTTACAAAATGTGCATACATAGAACATACTCTTGCGTATCGAATCAACTGAGATATATATACTCCATATGCAGGTGATGAAGGTATATTGCTGCATAAGTAAGGGAATTTGACGATAGAAAAGTTAAAGTCATCACGTTTATCATATAGCTTGGTTGTCAGATTCAATGAAAATCGCACAATCAATCAAATTGAATGATGAAACAACAATGGTAAACACTTTTTCCCTTTGCAAAAAAGCGTTTAAAACATATATCCTAGAATTAATTGTACTAAGAGCTCTGTTTTCCTGCCAGGTCTCACTAAGTTGTATAGTTGCGCGGTAAATCCTTATGTTTCGTTACACTGCGTTTAGAAAACATCTGAAAAAAACTTAAAATCCCAAATTACAGCTCAAAAGATCCCTCACTGCTCACTAGCCAATTATAAGAACCAAGTAGAGGTGTTCATCTTAAGTATTCCATCACAAATGTTTTCTTGAAGAGAATTAAACGAATAGTAAAAAAAATAATGACACGAACCAAAACAAGAAATATGAATGAAATACATCAAAGTTTACAAGGAAAATATTATTTAATGTATAAACATGGGGATGAGCAAACACCACTTTGTACAATTCAAAAATTACTTATAAATTTAAAAATATTCTAAGCAACATATAAATGCATATGGAAAGTGTTTCATGGGTATGAAGGTAAATTTTAATGTTGAACGATAATGCTGAAATTTTAAATGGTTCAAAAGAAAGCATATAAAACAGTAACAGTTGCTCCTAAGACTTATAATCTTCACATATATTTTAAAACCTCTATCGTGTATTGACAATAACAGGAACGGTAACTGTGTATTCTGTGGCCATTACTTCGTTTGTAGGATAGGGAGGCGGGGGGTCAACGCTCATTGGAGGATTTCCTAAATCTATAAAATGTATATCAATTATACAAAGTATTTATTTTCCTTCTAATACTTTAAAGAAATTCATGATAACAGCAAATAAAACTTTTACAACTTTGTTCTAAAAAGTGATTACACATGTATTTCATTTCATTTTTTCCCCAATAATTGTTACTTCAATACTTTGTTTTCTAGATATTTGAACAGCGACATAATAATTATGATTTTTGATTACATTATAATATTATATTTATTTTTAGAGCACAAACATAATGATTTACTCATTCATTGTACTTAATTAAGGATAATTTTACGGTACCTGGAGAAGAATTGTCGACTAAACGTGTGTGTGGAATTTCCGACCTCTGAAACACTAATCCTGGAGTTCTTTTTCTTCGACAAATCAAAACAACTGCCGCTGCTATTAAGGCAGTAACCGATACTACAGAAATTAGTCCTATAATCCACGTGTCTGAAAGAAATGAAGTAATATTGCATTACATTGCATTCGTTTTTTGTTAAGTTTATATTTCATGAAATGTGATATGATGTTATGGTCAGATTCTGTGAAAGGAATTAGGAAGATTACGAATATTAATCATGATCCAGATTTCAATTAATCACACAGTATAAATTATGATCTGAACAAATAGGAACCTAATGCCATGGAGTGAACATCCCATATAGGTCTATGAACCGGTCACAACCACTGTATATCCCCTGTCACATGTGTCATAAGCGAGTAAACAGATTGACTTTATGTTGTCACAAGTAAAATTGGCCCATATGATATTCATGGGATTTTCTTATTATCTGAAAATTTTTCGGAAATCTTGTCAAAATTACATAAATAATTTTTATATAAATATTGTGTATGGTTTAAACAAAACTCACATATTTTTAGAACGATTTCTTTGCACTATATTTACGCTGTATAAATTCATATGAATATCACATCAAAATTGCATGAAGTGTTCACATATACTAGTACATGCAAAGAATGAATATGAAATTATTGTGAATTTCATTTAAAATTTAAGCAAACCTTTTAGTTTTGATTTTTTTTACATGTCATATTGTTTTATTTAATTTCTGAAACTGTCTAGTCATGTACTTCAAGCGGGCAACTGCACGTACGATCATGTCCCAACAAGGAAATCTCAGTATATTAATGACATTTATCACTTCTTTGTAAAGGAGTAGTTATCTAGAACTTGATGACAAAATACAATAAAGCGAATACAATATTAATTATGACTGTTTTTTGACTTAAGACTTCATTACTATGAATTATTGTGGTGTAGGAATTATAACATTTTTAACATTATTTACTTTTCAATGTAAAAATGTTTTCAAAAAAAGGTAAATGTTGTTGAAATATACTTTTTAAAAGACTTTCTATCAATTGATAAATGGATATGAAATATTGTACATTACGATTTTCAAGGAATATTTCTTATCATCATTACATTTCGTCCCTACATGACGATATTAAGCTAACATGTATTGAAAATCAATTTCACAGAAAAGGGAAATAAAATAGTGTTCATGTTTACAGTACAACGCTGATACATACTGTCGCCGAGCTCTATAAGTTTTAGTTTTTCATGTGCATCGACTTTAAGTCAAGATGAAAAACATATTATTTAAATGAAAAAAAAAACGCTTACAGTCTTGCTGCTTGGGTTTGTGTTCTTTATATGCATAGACTCTCAATTGAAATGAGTTTGAAGTACTACTGAAGGTCCTAGGAACGGATAGTTTCACACTGATATCCGCATTTTGCGATCCACAAAACTTCTTTGGAGTTTGACCACATCCATATGTCTGAAGAATGATAAAGAAGCATTTTCTTTTTAAAAAAATGATATTTATAGTTATAATAAATCAATAAACATAATCATAATCCAGACATTTATACATATTTTTTGTTTATGTTACTTGTCTGGATTGTTTTCGATGAAGATGATATAACTTTTTTGTTACCCTTTTCAATTCGCCCTCCTCGATGTAATAAACATACACACTACAATCTTGTATGTTAAAAGTTTCAACTTCAACACACACTTTGCTTAGCGACTCCACAGGGTCGAAAGTTATCTTACAGCTCCTCCTAGTTCTTGAAAGAGAGGAACCGTCCCAGGAGAGATGATGACTAGTGTAAACGCTGTAGAATGTAGAACCCAGATCGCATGTAAATTCCGAGAAGGAAACTAAAATTTATATTAAAAAAATAAACGTAGATAAAAATTAGATAACTATGGTAATTTTAATCGATTCTCAGTATGCTTACATACATACATGTAATAAGTACTTACCAGAAGTACTCGTAACTTGTTCAGCATGCATAGACCATAAAAAAATACTCGAAATCCAAATCCAAACATCGTCATCATCATCTAGTTCCTTTATTAAGAAAAGCATTCATTAGGATTGAAATTATACTGATGTACTCTGACAATGCGTAATAATTGAACTTGTTAATTTTGAGATGACTGCTTACACAAAATACCCCTGAAATTTAAATTTTTATTCCCTTACTGTGTCGAATGATTTCTGTATCACAAAGTATTGTAGGTTGATCTTCCTCTTTCCTTTGTTTTGAATTATTTTACCTTCTTTCATTTCAAAAGGATATCGAGCATGTAATTCATATAGGACTGTGTTGAGATTTTACATCTTACATATAATGTTCTATAAGAAGCGACAAAAAATTTAAACTATGACTTCGAATGAAAAAAGGAAACAAAACAAAACCTTCCTGGTGTACACACAGTGCGATTTATAAATGGCGTCTACCATGAAAACTAACTCAGTGTGATTTATAAATTGCGTCTGTCATGAACATTTATTTCACTTCGACAAAAACAATATTAAGCCTAGTACTCACCTATAGAAATTATCTCCACAATCTATGACTTTGTCAACGGGACATTAATGAAATTTTCATTTTTTGAGTAAAAATGTCTGCGACCTTTCAACTGCTATGTAAACAATGCTTCGCGTGACTGGTTTTTCCACTACTGTGAAATAAAGCCTCGATACATAAAATAGGAACCTGTTTAATAACACAAAGTGTGCTAGATTTTTATCATGAATGCACTTAAGTACAACGATACTTAAACACGTAAGACGATAACTATGGTTTTTATTATTAGACCAGAAAATATATACTCAATTAAAAAAAAAAGCAAAAGAAACGCATATTGTTTTACTCATCAAAGAAATTTTGAAAAATATATTGAAGAACATTTCTTTTTATCATTGGATACCTGTGACATATTTTAAGGACAATATGGGGTTTTAAAACTTAAGTGTTGAATTATTTCCCTTGATTAATCATGTTTATGAAAATGGTGTTTTTCATGATCTCTTGTAAATCGGGGGTCTTTTTTAATTGATATTTTGGATTTAGAGAAACAATAAACACTCCTATTAAACCCATATTTAAGATTTGATTGCAATTTTGATTCAGCAATGTCACGCCTGAACAAAGATGAACGCAACAGGGCTAATGATGCTGATAACCGTAACACGAAGTTTCAAATTTAGTGTATATCAATTGGCTTTGCAGCGGTTAAACGTACGTTTCAACCAGCTAGGAACACGGATGACAGACCAAGAACTGGCTGCCAACGGGTTACCACACCCAGACAGGACCGTCAATCCCCCTTCAGCAATCGATTTAGAACTACTGCACAAACTGATGCTACAATTGCTGGTTGAAGATTAAATCAACATAAAAGTGCAAATTGTTCTCAAGAAACTGAGAGGGGCTGGTATTCGTTCATGAAATCTGTGGACGAATCCCACAATCCCACAAGCGCTGAGACGTCGCAAAGGACAAATCGATTGATATGCCCATAGAATTTGGGGGCGATGAAAGCAACACTCTAAAATCACTTTTCAAAAAAAAATATGGTTAACGTTTAAACTGAAAATATAGACTATCATGTCT